GAGGAGATACCACAACTGTTTAGCACACGTTTGGTCAAAGGATCGGCTTCACCTGTCTCTTTGACGAGTTTTTGAATGATGCTAAGAATGGCGAGAATCACTAATGATGCCGGCGAAACTTATGGGAATGTACCACGTCCACGGTCCTACTCTGGAAACGATGATGCATACGATGGACTCAGGATAAAGTATGTTCCTCTAAGTCTTCCTATCAATATGACCGAGTTGCGAAAACAAGTTCAAACAACTTCTAAGTGGACAATGTTGGTTGGTTGTGGACCAACTAACATTGTTACTAGACTTTATATGGGTACGAAATTACTCTACGCCATGTATCTAGAAATTGTTTTTTGATGCAATTTTGACCTCATCAGAGTTTGACCACTTCTAATAATAGAATAAACTAAAAAAATGTGACTTCAAAGGCAGACATACTCATTGGAGGCAGCGAGAGCACAGAATTATGTGAATAAATGAATGGGCCATATGAAGTGAGGTTGAAATAAAGAGATGCGACACTAGAAGGTAGAACAAAAAATACGAGAGAGGAGTGATGCCACAGCGGTTGAACGGAAAAGTGGTCAAGTGCGTTGCCTTTACTTGTCACTTTGATAAGTTGTAAATCTGTGTCTATGATGACGCCTCTCAGTGACGATGCGACTACGATGCCGGCGAAAGGTTTAAGAAGGTCCAATGCTGGAAAGCACGAATACTATGACAGAGAACAAGGGACTAGGTACGTTCCATAAGGTCTACTGACACTCCAACCAAGTTGAAAAAAACAAGATCGAGCCAACATCAAAATTACTGTCAGATTGTCTGAAATCTGGCTACCTATGAACCTGCAATTCCCGTCCACGATTACGCGATATTCTAGTATTTAGAAAAGTTGATTCTTATGTCAGTGCCTGAGAATCTTCCTCCCTCCACCCACATTGTATCTCATTATCTGGTATTCTACAATCAGCCATTAATCCTCTTCAGTTTAAAACAAATGAACTTGACCCGTCTGAGCGAAGGAAAGTACATACTTTTCGCTAAATTTCAGTTTTACTGGCGTGCCTTCTCTATCTATGGTAGAGAACACACAACTACATACGCTCCAGAAGATCTCTATATTATTCCAACCAGCACCCGAAAGCGAGGTAAAAATAACACTATGCGAGACGTAGTCTAGCTAACGAATAACCAGAGTCATATTTGTAGAATTTTTAAGGATCAGTGAATATGTAAGATAGAATGGATGCAGATGTAGGGATTTCATTAAAGGCAAAGTTAATTAAGTATATAGATACCATGAGGCGCCCGAATAGGAAATGAGTGCCAATGAGCAATGCTGTCAACTCCACAACTAGATGTGAAAAAGGTTTGAACTATGCTTTCCATTCGGTGTAGTAGGCCTGAGTTGACGTTGATTGAGGGTCGAATTAAAATTAGTCTGCAGTCCATTGCCTCCCGTACACCGTTAGCGAAAGCAAGATCTGCAAGTGCGGCTAAAAAGACGAGGATAAGAAGGAGGGTTAAAAGATAATAAATGCTTGAGTATATCATTATGAAAAGTACTAAAAGATACTAGATGATCCCATATACGGTTTAATCTCCAGTTCGCCCTTTCTTTAATTACACAATTTATCCTGAGCCCATCGAGTTTGATCTCTCCAATTCCTTATTTTCCAATACTCATTCCTCTTCCCCTAAGTTTTAATATCCTTGCCTTCAATTAAATTAAATATAAATATAAATTAATATATTTTTTATTGATTCATTTCTCCCGCTGTACTTTTGCATTATGCTTTATAAAGATCTATTATGATCATTGTTCTTACATGCTTTAATTTATTCTTATTCTACCAAATAGCCTTCTTACCCACTTACCTACTTTTACTTAATCGACCTTATCTCTTTCTCTATATGTAGATCTCATAATATAAGTTCCCTGCTCTCCTTTCAAGTTCCTATGCTTCCTCTCTACCATTCAACACAAACTTTAGCGCATTTATCTATGTATGAATTTATTAGACGTTTATATTTTGCATCATGCTTTGCATTAATATTCGCTCATATATTGGATAACGCGCCTCATTAGCCCTAGTCACATGCATAGTTGAAGAGCACATTGGCTAAAAATTGAAGAAATGAAAATTACGTTGTTCTTCTTTTAAGGCCTGTCGCGTGATCTCGAGGTCGTAGATGACATCAAACCAAAGTGCAGGGTAGGCTCGATTTAGAACTTGCTCCTCAAAAACAGCTAGATAAGCTGTCCGTGTAATTGGAGGCAGATGAGTTGAAGAGACTTCTTTTGTCCCTCTAGTAAGCTGATCACACTTTACTTCTGGATTGGAAAAGAGGGAAGTGGATGAAAACACACTGGGAATACCACTATCTGGTCTGAGTACAGATTGCTTTTGCTGAGGTGGCTGAAAATTGTGACAGTGAAGGCCAGCTGAAAAGAAAAGGCTATGTTCTGATGGCAAAATGGCAGAAGATATCGATGATGGAGAGGGAGGGGAAAAAGAAGGGGGGGATGAAGTAGCTACGCTCTGTGTGAAATAGTCTTGGAGATAACTCTTGTTGAGGGAAGACAATTGATCAGGAGGCTAGAGGCGAAAAAAATACAACAAAATTTAAGTATGCATTTTAAGGGAGAAAGGAATTATGATAAAAGCAAATTTGTTACTAATAAATTGTAGTGGTACAGCAGATGATGTTTAAAATGATCCATCACTAGCAAATTATTAGAATATGGCAAACTTATATATAGATATTTTGAATTTCGAATAAAGATAAATAAAAGCATGCGAAAGCCCTGGAGAATGAGCCCTATCGGCGCAAGCCT